ATGCAATTCCACTAGAAAAGCGCGTTGCAATTGCTCTTTATGCATTAGGATCTTCTAGTGAATATAGGTCAATTGCACACTTGTTTGGAGTAGGCAAAGCTACTGTTTGCAAAATATTTATTGAGTTTTGCAATGAAGTTTGGGCAAGTTTGGCGCCAATTTATTTAAACAATTTTCCCCTTAAAAGGTCGCAAATTGAGCAAGGAGTTGCAGATGTCAATGCAATGGGTTATCCACAATGTATTGGAGCTATAGGTAGGCTTAAAAGTAATGCGATGGAAATGAACTTTTATCAGAAACGGTTTTATAATACAGATGGATGTCATATAGAGATACACCCAAAAAAAGAAGAAGCCATTGATTATCACAACTACAAAGGGTGGTATTCAGTCGTACTGTTGGCTTTAGTAGACGCAAAATATAGATTCAGTTATATCCATTGCGGCAGCCCAGGAAGGTGCAATGATTCCTCAATTTTTGAAAAGTCGTCTCTAAAACGGGAGCTGCAGGAATGCGCACTCCTTGATGAATTGAGCTGGCAGTATGGATCCACAAAAATACCAGTGCACGTTATAGGTGACTCAGCCTTTCGCCTATCTCAGCATTTAATGAAGCCATACCCGCATAGCGTAAACAACACACCTGAACAAAAAAAATTAAACTATATATTATCCAAGTGTCGACGTGTTGTGGAAAATGCTTTTGGCCATTTAAAAGCCAGGTGAATACAAAGAAACGTTCTTGTCTCTTTCCAACATGATTAAATTTGTATGCTATTTTAGATTTAGAAGAATTGGAAAAGGCGTGGATAATCACGTTTTACACAATTTTTTAATTGCACAGAAGGACTCTATCGTAGAGAATTGGGTAGTAGAAATGCAACGAGATAGCAGGTGCAACCCGCAATGCAGCAACAACCAAAGTGATCGATCTGAAGGAGAATTGATAAGAAATTCTTTAAAGGAATATTTCCGTAAGTATATTTTTTAAAAAATTGTTTTACTTTCCCATGAATCATCAGGGTCGAATCACAATATATGCTTCTACTCCCAAAACACTAATTGATGAGACATAAGGCGTTAATAAACGTTAAAAATTCATTTATTTTAAGATCACTGAATAATGACATAAATTTACAGAAATAAAAAATTCAAAGCTAGCACAAAATTCACAAAAATTAATCAAACTTAAAAAAATTAATCAAAGTTTCAAACTTTTCATTAAGAACTTTAAGAATATTTTCGAGTATGCAGTTTTGTATCACGTTTAATTTTAGTACAACAAAGTGCAAGTTTCAAGTCACTAAAAAATTACCTTTGATTTTTTAGAATTTGTTTTTCGAATAGTGTTTTGTGTTTAATATTAACAATGTTTTTAAGTTAACATTTTTTTGTTATTTTTTTATAAATATGGTTCATGCTTTAATAAAAACCACATAAGTCAAGCTTTCAAACTTTATACAGAACTTAGAAAAATTCAATGAATTATCGTAAAAAATTTGACCTTTTTAATCTGAATTTTTAGAAAAATTTTGAGTACGCAGATAGATTGCTTTTTTAATTCTAGACAAGAGCAAGTTTTAAGCGGCTAAAAAATCGCGTTGATTTTTAATGAATTTTTTACTGCTGACGGCTTTTTGCACATTTTACTATATAAAAGAAAATTTCTTGTAGCCGCTTAAAACTTGGACTTGTTTTACTAGAATTAAAAAACCAATCTATCTGCGTACTCAAAATTTTTCTAAAAATTCAGATTAAAAAGGTCAAAATTTTTACGAAAATTCATTGAATTTTTCTAAGTTCTGTATAAAGTTTGAAAGCTTGACTAATGTGATTTTTATTAAAGCATGAACCATATTTATAAAAAAATAACAAA